CGGCCGTTCAGTATCTGTCTATATTTCTGAGATGAGGTATTATGTACATTATTTACATTATTCGGACTACTGTCCTCATTTTGTCGTCATATTTATCACAACGTTTCGGCAGTTGTAGTCATCAGTTATCTCCTGATAATTTCCCTCTGAAAGTTCTCCACTCCCTTAACTGTCCAGTAACAGGACCCAAAGAGTGTGAGTTCAATACCCACACTGACATCCATCAAACATGGCACGTGGAACTAGAACAGTCTACCCCAGTGAGCGAAATAAAGGGTTCGGTTCGAAATTCCAACCACCTGAAGAAGACCAGAGCGTACAACGGCCGAAACTTTGTGATAAATATGGCGATAAAGATGAGGACAGTAGTCCGAATAATGTAAATAATGTATAAAGGAACTTGTTGACATTTATTCTGCACAGGCGTCTTGCACATTGTCTAGATGGACTGATGGGTGCATAGTGACAGCCTTGGCACAGTATCAATGATATTGTAAAACAATATGATATATAATTCCGATTTGGTCAGTTTTGCTATTGTAAATTCTAGCAGTTTTTCTTCATTATTATAAAGGTGTTAGCAAAGAAAAGATACAACGTCCCGGATTTTGATCTGTGTTGTGGAATGGAGAATAAATTTTTTTTAAAATAATAAAAAACAATGAAGAGAAGTTCTTGTTCGTTGTATTTTTTTTAGCTATTTTTTTTAATGGCGTGGATGCCTTTGCAAAGGAAAAATTATCGAACTTCAACTTTTCTTTATTCGTTGGAATTAACATTTTTGTGGGATGGATGGGGGGATTCTTCAACTGATTTGCGTCTATTTTCAACTTCCCGTTTTATTATTATTGTTTTTTTTTTTCACACTTCACTTGCAACTTGAAGATTTCACGTCAACGATCAGCTTTCATCATTTTGAATAATTCAGCGCACAAATCTGAGAATCGATCAAAAATTGAGAAATTATAAAATTTATGATTGATCGACCGGACGAAATCTATTCGGGATTCTCAGAAGCATAATCTCTTGCAGAAACAGGTGAGAATACAAATAAAACAAAGAAAAAAAAAACAAGCGTCAAAATTGTCGAAAAGCGAAAAAAACTACTTAAGGATATTCAAAGATTGAAATGTTAGAATCATATTCTGCAAGAAAAACAAGGAAGAATTTGATTATTTCAATTCTTTTTTCGCCACTGATTACTGAAGGCAATGCATGCGCAAGATTTTAAAATAAAGCAGCATAGCTTTTTTTTTACACAAATAAACATGAATATTAACGGAAAAAATCATCTCGTCTTGCAAACAACTATCGCTTCACATGCATTTTACAACAGAGTTCTAATATTCAGAATTTATAACAACCCCATTTCTTTGAAATGTCCTGGCCTTTATCCTATATTTCGATTGATAGGTTCCTGGACCTTCTTCAGATATTTTGCTATATGACATGTTCTTTTACTTACAATCGAGAAAGAGCTAATGGACCGGTACGAAATGCGGTGAGATAAAAAAAATAACTTAATTCCAAAACTTCGAAGAATTTTAAGGAAATCAAATAACATGTCAGACAGGAATATTTCTAAAAAAAAAAAACAAAGTTAAATATAGTAGTCTGAAATTGTATGCAAAAAAAAGAAAATAGTAGCCCTTATCAAAAAACATAAAATATTTTATTATCAGACATTTTTTCTTTTATGCCAGGTCACCTTGCTAGTGTTGCTGGTGGTATGTTACACAGTACTGACCCATGGTTGGTTTATCGGTGAATAATCCGATACCACCACCTGTCCTCTTTTTCTTTCTTTTTTTTTGTGAGTATTGTGTCAAGACAACAAGCACGATTTAAAAAATAAGACCTGTCAAAGAAAGGATGAAAACCTCAACTTGGCGCAAAGACAATATTACACTACGGGCAACACCTGTCAAAATGCGGGTGAACCATCTTGTTGTGGCAACGACAATATTACACTACGGGCGACACCTGTCAAAAGCGGGTGAACCATCTTGTTGGAGCAACGACAATATTACACTACGGGCAACACCTGTCAAAAGGCGGGTGAACCATCTTGTTGTGGCAACGACAATATTACACTACGGGCGACACTTGTCAAAAGCGGGTGAACCATCTTGTTGGGGCAACGACAATATTACACTACGGGCAACACCTGTCAAAAAGCGGGTGAACCATCTTGTTGGAGCAACGACAATATTACACTACGGGCGACACCTGTCAAAAGCGGGTGAACCATCTTGTTGGGGCAACGACAATATTACACTACGGGCAACACCTGTCAAAATGCGAGTGAACCATCTTGTTGTTTCAACGACAATATTACACTACGGGCAACACCTGTCAAAAGGCGGGTGAACCATCTTGTTGTGGCAACGACAATATTACACTACGGGCGACACCTGTCAAAAGCGGGTGAACCATCTTGTTGGGGCAATGACAATATTACACTACGAGCATCACCTGTCAAAAGCGGGTGAACCATCTTGTTGGAGCAAATACAATATTACACTACGGGCAACACCTGTCAAAAGGCGTGTGAACCATCTTGTTGGAGCAACGACAATATTACACTACGGGCAACACCTGTCAAAAGGCGGGTGAACCATCTTGTTAGAGCAAATACAATATTACACTACGGGCAACTCCTGTCAAAAGCGGGTGAACCATCTTGTTGGGGCAACGACAATATTACACTACGGGCAACACCTGTCAAAAGGCGTGTGAACCATCTTGTTGGAGCAACGCCAATATTACACTACGGGCAACACCTGTCAAAAGGCGGGTGAACCATCTTGTTGGAGCAACGACAATATTACACTACGGGCAACTCCTGTCAAAAGCGGGTGAACCATCTTCTTGGGGCAACGTCAATATTACACTACGGGCAACACCTGTCAAAAGGCGGGTGAACATCTTGTTGGAGCAACGACAATATTACACTACGGGCAACACCTGTCAAAAGGCGGGTGAAACATCTTGTTGGCGCAACGACAATATCACTATCAATAGCATTATAAAGTACAGGCTCTCGAGAAAGCAGTTGAGCAACATGCTCCATAAGTTTTCTATGGGGTTGAGGTCAGGAGATTGAGGCGGCCATGTCATAACACTCACCTGCTTCTCATCAAAGTATTCCTTCATCACTTTTGATTTGTGACAGGGAGCATTATCCTGCATAAAAATGAGCTTGGTGGGGTCGATTTGCACCCTTTCAGCAGAAGGGAGCAGGCAAAAATCTAAAATTCTCTTGTACTGCTCGCTCCTGAGGGTCTTTTCTATAGGTTTTAAGAAAATAGTTCTATGAAAAGAAAAGCATCCTCAAAACATTATACTGAACGGATGCTTGACAGTACTTACTGTTAACTTCAAAGAGCTTTCAAATCTTCTTCTTCGGATTTTACATCGCTTATCCTTTGAATTTAACTCAACTTTCGTTTCATCGGAGAAGAGAACATTTAGTAAAAATATAAGGTGAGTCACTTTTATCGAACAGAACTGTACTTTTAATAAATGGGGACAAAGTAAACTTAGTTAAATAATAAGATTATGATAAATGTTGAAGCCCTCGTCTTTCGGGTTGTCCCAGCTTCTTTTGATGATATCAAGCGAAGAATAGTACAGTTACTTTTGCAAGACTATAAGAAAAAATCTGGGATAGAAAAGACATTCGCTACTACCAGATTCTACTGTGCTTTGATCAACCGTACTGCAATTTATGCCAGTGAAAACTGGACAATGATATAAAACTAAAGTATAAATTAACTCAGTCTTCGAAAACAATTGTCTCAGATTTATGGCTGGAAATTTTTTCAGTGATAGAATCAGAAAGGAGGCCACAAGGAAAAAGTTAGATATGAAAACTGAATTAATTCAACTGATAAGAAAATGAAGCCAAACCCTTTTCTTAATATTTTTGCTCGGTCATCAAATATGTTCCCTTTACTTTAGTTTTAGGTTTCATTAAATTATGAAACCTGGATACTAAGAAAAGGACAAGCACAAGTATTACGTCTTCGAAAACACCTGCCCCAAATGCGCGGATAGGAAAATATCAAAGACAGAATTAGAATGAATGGATTCCATAAGGAAAATCTAGATATGACAACTGAAGTAATTCCATTGATTCAGAAAAGGAGGCTAATCTGGTTTAGGCATGTGTAATGAGAAAAGAAGAAAGGATTTTATATATGTTTTCCTCGATAAAATCAAGTTGTTTGGTAAAAATCACTGTGCTAGACAACCTAATAGATGGGAAGACCAAATCAGTGAGTTCACCAGAATCCAACTTTTGACACTTGAAAGGATTGTTTCGGACAGGAAAATAGAAATAAAATTGTAAAAAGATGAATTCCTTTGGGATTATGCAACTCAGACAAAACTTCAATAGGTCTGAAATATGTATCAACAGAATGAAAGAAGTTGTTAAGACTGTATAAGGGGACATTGAAACTAAGTGAATATTTCAAATATTATTCAAATAATTGGCCTAATTTATATCAGAGCTTTACAGGGTCACATTTTCGCGCTTAGTTCTGGCTTGCTCCGTTGAAAAACCCGTTCTCGCACGATCATCAAAGTTAAGCAATGTCGAGCTTGGTCAATACAAACATGGACGACCGCTTGAGAATACCGCGTGCTGTAAGCATGGGTGTGTGGACTGTGTAATGGATAACGGCTCGGAATTGGAAATATGGAGATCCGAGTTCCAATTCTAGTGGGGCTTATTATATTCACTTGAGCCATCGGCAAAGGTATAAATCTACTATTTCTCGCCCAGGATCTATGAGTTAATTAGCAAAACTTGTATCACTGATAAATAAATATTATCTCTGAAAAAAATACTTACAATCTAAAAATAATTTCTGCCTTTAAATCCCTGCAACAGGTTGATAAGCCGTAAAAACAAATTTATCAGTGGATCAATCATGCGCTTCGTTTTATATGCGAATTTCTCCTTTTTCTGTTTTTTTTTTACATCGAGGTTCACGGCCATATCATGTTAAAACCCCGGTTCCCTTACGATCACCGTAGTTAAGCAACGTCGATCCTGGTCAGTAACTAGATAAGTGACCACTTGGAAATACCATATACTGTAACCTTGGGTGTGTGGATGGTGTAATGGATAATGGCTTGGAACTGTTAATCGGAGACCTGAGCTCCAATTCGAGTTGGGTTGGTTATATTCACTTAATCGCAAATATCTAAGGAAAGGTATGGATTCATCTCTTCTCCCACCAAGTATGGGTTAATTAGTAAGATTTGTAACATTAAAAGTCATTATTATTTCAACAAAAGACTAAAATGCCTAGAAAATATTCACATTTCCGAATTAAATAATCGACAGTGGTTGATATGCTGCTAAACAAAAACAACAAACTACACAATTGAATAGAGACATTTCTTTATTCGTCATAATTATCATCGTTTATTTGTTTTCATTCTTCTTGGAAATGTGTACTTAAATATTTATCTTTCAATATTTCAATACGACAGAATATATTCAGCAATTAATAGATAAACGGTTGATATATATTTATGGCTATCAGACCGAACAATAACTTCTTTAATAATCAATAGTGACCTTTTTCTCCTGAGCGAATTCACGTATTTTGATTTTTTTTTCCTGTTCATAGTCTCTTCTTGATAGTATTTGTCTAAACCTCGAAAGATATTAACCCCACCACTTAATCACAAAACCTTTTCCTAATGTCAAATGTTTTAAAAACATCAACAAACCAGAAAACCGGTATCATCCAGTGAATATTTGCTGCAAACATCTAATAATTCTCTTGTTGTTTACACAATACTTCAAAATACGTACCTTTTTTTTTTCTTTTTTTTTTTTTTGCTTGAAGGGCGTGGCTGTAGGTATCAAGTTCTTAAAACAATCAAACTGGTCAGTTTTAGCATATAGGCCTAAAGACCAGTCGATGTCAAAATTTGATTTTGACTACGGGCTGTGAAATATATTGTCTAGATGCGAAAAATGTATACAAAGTATTAAACTAGCTTGAATAACACTTACAATAAGATATACAGGATTATTAATGAGTTTGATCGAACATTTTTTTCTGAAATCAGATCAATCAACATTGTAAAGTGTTTGAAAAATTCTCAAAATGATTAAGAAGATTAGATGTCTGATGAAATATCAGAAAGTTTGGCTGGCTTGGAACTTCTCAGTTCTAACCCTTAAAGATTTTTTTTTTATTGTTAAACGTAAAGCCATCGTAATATTTTATACTGAACAGATTTTTATTAATGACCCTCTCCGATTCAAATCAACGGTCATGAAACAGCTCAAGGTGCTGTGAAAATTAAACCAGTATGGAAATTTAACTATTTTAGGAATTTTATAGCGGGTGAAAGAAATATGATACAGAAATCCTACACCACAAATTAAATAGAATGTTGTCTATTAAATATTAAGCAAAGTATTAAGATACAAGAAGATTTCGTTAGAAAAAAAGGAAATGGCGCTGAAATTTGATGTAATAGCCCTGGAGAACTTAAACAAAGTATTAAGAAATGGAAATATTTCGATAGAAACAAAGAAAACGAGTGCTCAACTGTCATGTAAAAGCTAAACGAAGAATTAAGAAACATGAAGATTTTGTTAGAAAAAAAAAGAAAAGACCTCCGAACTGTTGTAAAATATCACTCCAGAAGCTAAGCAAAGTATTAAGTTACACGAACATTTCGTTAGAAACAAAGAAAAAGAGCATTGAATTATTATAGTCACTCCAGAAGCGAAGCAAAATATGAAGAAATATGAAAATTTCGTTAAAAACAAAGAAAAGGGCAATCAAATGCTATGTTGTATTCATGTATCTTTGTCAGTGAAATCTCGACAATTTCCTCACATATAAAGAGATTTGAAGTAACATATATGTGTTTCATACAGAATAAATTTATGAATATCATGAACGGAAATTCTCAACAACGTAGCAGTTATTGATTTTCCAAACGTCGATCAGATGTGGCACAAGGCCGAAAGTATGGGGTACCCAGTGAGGATCGAACTCAAACTCAGTCGTAATAGTTCTAGCGAGAAAAGCTTGCTAACCATTACACCACCTCGAGGTGCCCGAGTGATTTTCTAAGCCCGGCTTAGATGTGGCACAAAGCCGAAAGTATGGGGCACCCAGTGAGGATCGAACTCACTACACAGTCGTAATGGTTCTATCGAGACAAGCTTGCTAACCATTACACCACCTCGAGCTGTCCACGACGTAGCAGTTCATGAAATCTGGAACAAAAAACAAACGTGTGCTTAGAATGAGAAAGGACAGTTGATTTTGGGGTGACATATAATGAAGAAAGAGGGTGCATAAAATGTGGCAATCATATGATAGAGAGAGAGCAAGAGGGAGAATCAGAGGGAGAAACAATGCATGTACTACCTAAGGATCTCGTGTAAACGGATGGCAGAACAGAGATTAAAAGCGATTTGAAAGGGAAGAAATATTTATTAAAACTACAAAAGATAGGAAATTGCGGAGAGCCATGACCGCTCACATTCTGAAGGGACTCGGATCATAAAAAAATAAGAATAACCCAATAATGTAATCGTGTATCTAAGCACACATTTAAATCCAGACTGAAAATCTTATTGGACATTATGCCTTAAATGTTGACGATTCTCACTAACCCGGTTTGTTAAAAGGAAGCGATCGGGTTAAAGATACATACAATATTCCATGGATATAATTAAGTTAAATCTTTATTTATACACGTATGGCATAAAGCAAACTAGCATGGCGATTGAGCTATAGATTTTTTTTTATGAGAACATCCAATATTTGAATGGAAAAGTTCTATTCAGTCTCTTGAATAGATTCTACATCCAAATTATTAATTTTTTTCAATCTTTTCACCATCACCAAGACGACAATGCCACAAGAACGCAGGGGGTTACAAGGAGGGAAGGTGAGAGAGAGAGAGAGAGAGAAGACTGAGAATGGAAAGAAACTTGAGAATTGAGGAAAGGACAAAAAGCAACACACTTCAAGAAGGTAGATGATAGCGATTGAAGTTGCATTTCAATTTTTGAAAATTGTAGCTATCAGAGAAAAAAGAAATCGGACATGATTTCCACAGGCAGGAAGTGCGAGAATGAAAAACTGCTACAGTAGAAGTGGCGGCTGCATCTCGTTAGTTCTATAATAAAACGGTGAGACCTATGTGCCAATCAAGTAGCCCGCTTAAATTCATGTAGTCAGGGCACCAGGACGAAAAATCTCATCAGAGCAGTTGCCATGAAAATCTTTTTAGATAAGGCAGAGGGAAGCCAAATCACTTCGGTGAGAAAGTGACTGAAGTCAGGATCGATTACATTACAGATCCTTCTTTGGATTTAGTGAAGAATCGCGTGATGTATGGCAGGTGCGCCAGACCAGATATGGAAACAGTATTCAATGTATGGTAGATTTATAAATGTGCAAGAAAGATTCTGAAGAGAAGATTTTTTCTATCACAACACAGGGAACCAAATGTCTTCGAAGTAGAGAAGCAATTGATTCGCTATAGTCGCTGTACTTCATGTCAATAGAAAATGTGATGCCAAGAATCTGTAGAAAATTACGCTCCTAGAGTTTAGCATCAGCCAAGAAGATAGCAGACAGAATAGTTTGTCTGTTGGGATTAATTAAAAACAGTTTTGTTTTGGAGGCATTAAAATTTACAAGCTATTTTTCTCGGTAAACACTGATTAGAGGTCCTGTTCAAGATTAATAACCGGTTTACTTTGTCGGATTTGCTACTAAGACAGGAGTAAATAGTTGTATCATCTACATAAATACTTACCCGAAAAATGATGAGAACGGGAAAATCATTGATGAAGACTTGAAACAGGATAGAACCCTGGGGGATCACTGCTAGTAGGAAACGATTTGTTAGAAGCGATTGGATTACACCAAATATTCGTCCCTTGATATCGTTAGCCTTGAGCTTGCGTAGAAGGCCAGAATGCCAATTTCTGTGGAAGGCCTTCGTGATATCAAGAGCTAGAGCATGAGCTTCGCTTATCTAAAGCTTGATAGGCAAATTCAATGATGATTGTTAACACGTCGTCTCTAGAAATATCGAAACAGAAACCATATTGTTTATCCGAAAGAAGGTCGCACAAAGTAAGATACTTAACCAACTGGCATTGTAATTGAAACTATAGAAATAGTAAATGAAGGTACTGTTTCTTTGTTTACTTAAACTTCAAAAGCAATAGCTCGCCTTTGTTAAAAATCCTCAATTCTCTTAGCACAACGAGATGGAGAAATGGCAATTGTATTTTGAACAAGCATTACAAAATAATTCAGTTTATAATTTAACGTCCTTGGGCATTTCTACGTTGTGTAATGGTTAGTATGCTTGTTTTAACATATCAATTAGTAGTGAGTTCGATCCTCGCTAGGTGCGTCCTGGGTATGACGATAAACTATATCCGCGTCCTGGGTAAGACGATAAACTACATCCAGCATCAAGGTCTCTGATCAGGAGGTTTTGAGGAGCGTGGAACCACCTCTTAATTGCTAGTGTTTCCAGACCTGGGGTGGTAGCACCTGTTAGGGTATCGGCTATGAGAAAATAGTTAACCTCCAAACTGGGGTCAAAACACTATGAAAGGGTAAAAATAGGTTTTAATACCAGAAATACTTTGTAAATAATTATTACCAGCAATATATTTTTGAAAAAAATATTACTACCTTTACATTTTTCGAGAAAGAAATATTGCCAGCTATACATTTTTGAAAAAAAAATATTACCAGGTACACATTTTTCAGAAAAAAATATTACCAGCTATACATTTTTGAAAAAAAAAAATATTACCAGCTATATATTTGAAAAAAAAAATATTACCAGCTATACATTTTTGAAAAAAAAATATTACCAGGTACACATTTTTCAGAAAAAAATATTACCAGCGATACATTTTTAAAAAAAAAAATATTACCAGCTATACATTTAAAAAAAAAAAATATTACCCGCTACACATTTTTAAGAAAAAATATTACCAGCTACACAATTTTCAGAAAAAATTATTACCAACTATACATTTTTCAGAAAAAAAATATTACCGGCGATACATATTTGAAGAAA